TGCAGCGCACGGCCGCTGCTGCGAGCAGGCGATCCTGCTTCTGACGCAGCTGCTCCTCGAGGACTACGTCAAGTGGCGGCCCTCCCTCCTCCGCGCCTTTTGCCGCTCGCTCGTCGACGCGGAGCCGACGCTGCGCGCGGCCGGCCGCGCTTGCCTCTTCGACATGCTCCTCCCTCGCTCGCCCCACCTCGCGCTGGTGCCCACGCCTAGACACTTCCTAGACACTTCCTAGACACTTCCTAGACACTTCCTCGACACCTCGCGCTGGTTCCCGCGCCGCCCATCGCGCCTCACCCCTCTCGACTCGCACCCTGCCCTCCCGACCCCTCGCGCTGACCTGCCCACCCGCCGCCTCCCCCCGCCCTCCCCCGCCCTGCCGCGTGCAGGCCTCCTTTGTGCCCCTCCTCTTCCAGCGCTGCAGGAACCTTCTTGGAACCTTCTTGGAACCTTCCTGCAGGCCTCTTTTGTGCCCCTCCTCTTCCAGCTCAACGGGTGCACCGCGCTGCCCGCGCACGCGACGCCGCTGCCGCGCGACGAGAAGGAGGCGGCTCGAGGGAGGGGAGGAGGCACTCACGCCCTCTCGGAGGGGCGCTGACCTCCCTCCCCTTCCGCCCAAGGCGCTCGACCTGTCTGGGGCGGAGCAGCAGCGGCCGCGGCTGCAGATCCTGCGCGCGCTCCTCTCCTCGATGGGCGACGAGCAGCGGCTGCAGGCGACGCCGAAGCCCTGCCACGAGGTGCTGCTGCAGGAACCTTCTTGGAGCCTTCTTGGAACCTTCCTGCAGGCGACGGCGAAGCTCTGCCACGAGGTGCTGCTGCAGGAACCTTCTTGGAGCCTTCTTGGAACCTTCCTGCAGGCGACGGCGAAGCTCTGCCACGAGGTGCTCGCGCCCGTCCTCGACGGCGCCCGCCGCCCGCCGCCCGCCGCGCGAGGGGGAGGAGAGGTCCCACTGGCGGAGGCGTCGCGCGTAGGCCAAATGGAGCTGTCCGCCGCCGCAGTGCACGCCGTGGTCTCCGACTCGCTGCGCCTTCTCGCGTGCAAGGAGGCCAAGGTGGGCTCCGGGGCGGGCGCCTCCGCCGACGAGCCCGCCGAGGACGGCAACGCGGCGGCGGCGGCGGCGCGCGGCAAGGTCCTCTCGCAGGTGGCGCGCAAGGCGACGGTGGAGGCGATTGTGCCGATCGTGGTCGAGCTCAAGCGGCACCTCGAGGCGGCGCACTCGCCGCTGCTGCGCGACGTCTCCCTCTTCGTGCGCGAGCTGCTGCGCG